TGACRGGGTCTGGGAGCAGGTCCCTTGCCAGGGTGCTGGATGGATGTGCCTCTGCAGTGGAGGCTCAGCTGGTTGATGTTCCCCCTGCTGTGCAGAGCCACATGCCAGCCCTCCCTCAGGCTTTTCATCTTTGCCARTCTGATTGATGAAAAGGTTACCCTGATGTTCTTTTCTAAATGGCACGTCTTACGTTACCAATGAACTTTTTGTTTCATGTGATTCTTATCCATGCGTCCTATTTTGTGCTTTGGGCCCTTGGCAGCCCTAGTGTGGCATTCTTCAATGGATCCAGTGCCTGCGTTTAGCTGCAGGCTCTCAGGAGGTGGCCTGGCGGGAATGGGTGAACCTGTCTTTGGTCTGTAGCTGAGCTCTGATGCGTTACCAAGACAAACCAGCAGGTGGCAGCAACGATGACGTTCTGAGCGCTAGGGCTGAGCGCCCAGGGACACACCGAAACCTGTTCTGGACTAAGCTCCTTTATGGGGAGTTGCTTTCTCTCACACGCATCCTTCAGGCTTCTGGGGGGCCCAAACTAGGTTTGTAAAAATACTACACCCACATCCTTTGTGTAATGGTTCTCAGGACTGCTGCTAGGCGGATCTGTAGTGAGTGCCCGGGGGTCGTGCTCTTACCCTTTTGGTTTTAACATGAGGAATCTGGATTTCAGAGAGGCGGCATGACCTACCCTAGGTCATAGCCAGGTAGTGTTGTATTTCTGTTTTAAAGATGAGACACCAAGTTCCCCCAGAGGTGAGGAGACAGGAAGGAGGACTGGGATATCCCCACGTGTGTAGGATTCACGGCCAGGTGTTGGTCCAAGTCCTTCTGTGGTTCTCAAAGCTGGTGCGGGGATCTGAATCACCTGGAGGATGCTTTTTTAAAAATACTTTTTTTTTTTTTTTTTTTTTTTTTTGTAGTCCAGGGCCTTGTGCCTGCTAGGCAACCACTCTATCACCCAGCTGCACCTCCAGCCAAAGCTTTAAAATTTAAAACACAGACAACTGAGCTCCAGCTGTCTGGGTTTTCGGTTCCCTAGGTAAGGATGAAGCCAAGACGTCTGTTACTAACAAGTCCCAGGTGGTACTGATGCTGCTGGTTGTGGGGGGGCATGCTTTGAGAACCTCTGTGACCTGACCTCGCCAAACCAGCCTTCAGTGGCCTTGAGCTTGCTCCCTAAGGTCATCAGAGTGCCCTGGAGACAACCATCATAACATCCTGAGACCTCCAGGAAGCTCCACCTGTAGGGGAACCGCTTAATTGGGTTCAGGGGATGAAAATTTCACAGTATGTAACCACAAGGGCACCTGTCAGATCTCCRGAAGGATAAGTCCAGGGTGTTAATGAGCTTCTGGCTACTGGCACGGAGCTCAAGTGGGGTGGAGGCAGGCAGGGCTTTGCCAGGAATCGGGAGATTTTCTTCCTTGAGAATGGATCAGTGTACTTGGGAGCTGGGCTAGGTCTAGAGACAGATGTCCAAGCTCAGTGGAGGCACTGGAGATGGCCAGGATTGCTCCCAGACACTTCCCAGGGACAGACTTTGGAAAATGAGCTCATTTGAGGGCCAAAGGAAGCAGGGTGGTRGGGGGCCAGACAGGCTGGGGTCTAGACTGAGAGGTTCTGGCAATGTTCTCTGCTTATCCAYACCCACAGACGTTCCCTAGTCATAGGGACTGATTCAGGGTTGAGGCTCAGCCGGGTGAGCTGCCTAGGAAGGGTCCCAAAGGCCTCTCCTGGGGTTCTTTCTGGAGGGGCCTGGAGAAGGCCTTCCAATGCAGCATTGCCTGCTGCAGGCAGGACCCTGTCGCCTGATGTCAGGACCCACCCTCTCTTCCCTTTCTGCTTCCTATAAATATTTATTCATTCCATTATTGTCGATTGTTTATTGAACTCTTGACTGTGGTGGGGCACTCACAAAATACCAGGAACGCTGCTGYCAAGACAGGAAGCTGACTTTTCAGTGCAGGCAAAAAGACAACCGTCCTGAAAACAAAGACAAAAAATATTGAAGAACATAAACAGAACTGTAAGAGAGAAAAGTGAGGCACCTGCTTTGCGTAGATGATCAGGTGGGACTTCTCCAGGAAGACAGTGTTTAAGCTGAAAGCTAAAGGAGAGGAAGAACAAAGGCCCTGGGGTTAGGAAAAGCAGGAGTGTGCCGGAACCTAGAGGAGGTCGGAGTGGCAGAGCGAATGGGCAAGGGGAGTGTGGCCACGCCTGAGATGTCAACAGGGATTAGACCACGCAGTGTGTTGGAGGCCGTGGTGAAGAGTGTAGGTCCTATTTAAAATGCAACCAGGGATCTAGGTGATGCTCATTAGTGATGGCTGAACATGTTGAGTAAAAAGCTTATGGGGAACTTGACAATGGAGGATTAGGCTGACATCATCTGAAACCACTGAAGCTTAGCATCACCAAGTGAGAGACCAGCAGCCATAATCCGTTCAAGCCTCTAGATCTAACTCCTGATTACAGAAAATACAGGTGCAGAAAGCACAGCATGTAAAAATGTCATCATGAGGGAACAATCAGCAAAAGCCAGTCTGCAAGAAACTCTACAGATCTAATCTTTATGACCAATAAATAGCAGAAGGGAAAGGGGGGGGGGGAATCTGTCAATCAAAAGAGATTTAGGAGGACAGCAACCAAGTACAATGTGAGGATGTTGGCAGATTTTATAATAATGGACCTTCGTGAATCACCCTGTCAGGTCTAAACCCTTTTACAACCTAATGTTGCTGTTCTTCCTATCAAGAGGGTAGAAACTGTTTCTCCACTGGCTTGAATCTGGGCGGCCCTTGAAATTTGCTTTGGCCAATTGAATATGGCACAAGTGATATAAAAATTCCAGCCTAGAGCTTCTTTGTTTGCTTTCTGGGACTCCTGAGAGCACCCTTCTCTGAAGGAGCCCTGGCTAACCTCTTGGAGGAGGAGAGGCCATTGGAGGGCTGAGACTCCCCAGCCCATAGCCAGCACTAACCGCCAACCCATGAGGGAGGTCATCCTGGACCCTCCAGCCCCGGTTAAGCYATCTGATGGCTGCAGCTTACATGAGGGATCCCGACAGAGACCTGCAGAAGAACCCCCCAGATGTCAAGCCAAGGTGCCATACCACTAAATAGGAGGGTGCTTCGCCACATAATAATAGGTAATAGAAACAGGAATCTTGTTTGAACCCTCACTCAAACGACTTAAAAAATTATGAATCAATCAGGGAGTTTTGAATGTTGGACGCTAGGTATTTGATAATATCATAATGTGATTGTTAATTTTGTCAGGTTTGATAATGGTGTGATCATGGCTTTCAAAGAATTTTTTTTAGGGGCCTTACTTTTCAGAAATGGAAATGTTTGTGGATGAAAAGGAATGATGTCCGGTACGTACTTCAAAATCATCCAAAAAGTGGGAATATGGATAAAACAAGGTTGGCCTTGGTCATTGTTGAAAGTAGATGATGTACACATGAGAATTCTTTATACTATCCTCTCTTGTAATGGCTCATTAAAGTTCATACTGCAGAGTTTGTTCACGGTAATAGTTTCTCTTGTACATATTCGATATTTTCTATAATAAAGATGTGTCGGTGCAACTGGAAATCCTACAAGGCCTACCCAGGGCAGTGTGGTCCCCTCTCACCATGAGCTGGAACTTTCTGGTTTTTCCTCCTCCAACCCCACCAGAGGATCCCCTGTGATCCCCTCTGGTCCCTGTAGCCCTGATGGTGCCAGCTCATTGTCCCTGCTCTCCCAGGTATCTCTAGCTCCCAGGTCGCAAACCTCCAATGGGCCTGCCAGCCAGTGGCTAAGCTCTGGGTGTGTCAGGAAAAGACTCCTCAGAGACTCTCCGTCCCCTGGAATGGGCCACATTCAGTCCCAGAGGAAGGCAGGAGGAGAGTCTGTGAAACAACATCGTGAGTCACCACAGCTAATGACTTCCCAGAAGATCTGTGGTTGGACACTGAGCCGCTCCCTTCAAAACATGGCTGGGGAGACACCGGCTCAAGCCTGGTCCGYGGTCAGAAACACAGAGCAGGACCACCTGGGCTGCATGTCACTGTGGGACCAGGAACACAGGATACGTACAGTTCCCACCTTGCGCGCCTGTTGGTACAAGGAGAGGGAACGATGCCACTGGCAAGTGCTAAAGCCACAGAAGAGGACGTCTAAGTCCATTTTCTGTTGCAATAACAAAATGCCCAAGATGAAGTAATTTATAAAAAAAATTAGAGGTTTTTAGCTCACGGTTCTGGAGGCTGGGAAGTCCAAGAGCATCGGACCAGCATCTGGTAAGGCCTTCTTGCTGCATCATTATAGGGTGAGGAATCATATGATAGAGCAAGTTTACTAGCTCAGCTCTCTCTTTCTCTTCCCCTATAGCATGAATTCCATCATGGGGGCCCCACCTGTGACCTCATCTAATCCCAATGACCTCCCACAGGCCCCACCTCCAAACACCCTGAACATAGGATGTGGGGGATTTAGATTCCAACACACGGACTTTGAAAAGAAACATTCAGACGACATCAAGGAGTCAACCAACAGGATTGAGTTGTCCSTCTTAGGAGAAAAACGACACACACACACACCCACAAAACAGTTGCTGGCAGAATTGGGGCAGGCAGGAGGGAGCCAGAAGACTAATACTCGGACCTCTCTCTCCTCCTGCCCTTCCATCTCCTTCAGCACTTGCCACTGGCTGAACCCAGCTAGAAGCCAGAGGGAAAGAGAACCGGGGTGAGGCAGTCCTTAACTTGAGTCCTGAAGCACAGAGCAAGGCCCAGAAGGATGGAGCCTCCAGAGGGGTGGGGAGGAGTTTTGATGGAGGGTAACCAATATTGGGGAGTAAGTCTTGGGCAAGACAGTATGAGATCAGTGTGTTGGAAGCTGGGCATTGGTGCTGTCCAGTCGCCATTGGTGTTGAGCATGTGACCAGGGCACCAGGGCCTGCCCAGGGTGAGGCACACAGGTGGGTACTCATCCATMAAGTGAGGTTCATCTCTTTAGCCTGACTCCTCTGCTCCTTTGGTCCTAGGGGAGCCCTCCCAACCTCCCAATGGCAGCTGGCCCCAAAGTCAGAATGGGAGTGAAGCTGAGGTCACCCCGGCTGCCAACCTCACCTTCTCCTCCTACTACCAGCACTCTTCACCGGTGGCGGCCATGTTCATCGTGGCCTACGTGCTCATCTTCCTCCTCTGCATGGTGGGCAACGCCCTGGTCTGCTTCATTGTGCTCAAGAACAGGCACATGCGCACCGTCACCAACATGTTCATCCTCAACCTGGCCGTCAGCGACCTGCTGGTGGGCATCTTCTGCATGCCCACCACCCTTGTGGACAACCTCATCACGGGTGAGTGTGGACAAGGGGCCGAGGGAATGTCCCCTGCTCCCCCCCACACTTCAGCTAAAGCCTGAAACAAATGCATGGAAGACAGATCTCTGCTGGGCTGGCCTCTTGGCTAAGATGCCATTGTCTCAAATTCTCAAGATGGTTTTGTGGCTGAGAGATTAGACTAGAAATAATAGATACAATGGATTAATCATKTTTCTTTGTGCCAGGCATTATGTTACATATGCTTCATGCATTATCTTAATTAATCCCCACAGCAATTCAACCAAGCGTGCTTTGTGATCATCCTCATTTTATGGATGGGGGAAGCATTCCCCGAATGGTTAAGAGATTGGTTTGTAGTTACAAAACTAATAAGTGTCACAGCCCACCTCCTYACACCCCTAAGAAGCTCCCACGAGCAGAAATAGAACTAATGAGAAGAAATGGTGGAGAGCAGGTTTCCWCTGAACAAGGACCTAAAATTCTGCTTATTTGATTGATTCTCCCCAGAAGAGGGTCCTGTCGTGTAGGTAATGAACTCCCTGTTGCTGGGAGTGTMTAGGGACGGGCTAGGCACTGCGGAGGGATCTGTAGAAGGCAATAAGCAGAACTCTGACTTCTAAATTCTTGCCTGTGTGTCGGCAGATGTCTGAAAGCCTCCACCAGCACACACTCTCTCTTGTGATGGGCTCGTCTTGTTTTAGAATCGGTTCCTTGGGACTCCAGATGGGGAGGGATGGCTTTCCAGAGCTGTGGCGACCCCTGCAGGTCAGAGCCTACAGTGGCTTGAGCCAGCGCTCCCAGGAGCTCCAGTTCCAGATCCCCCTGCTTGGAGTGATGCACGGAGGGAGCCGCAGCTTGAGTTTCTGTGGCTTCTGAGCCCCAAGAAGGGGAGCCAGGGCAGAGTCCTGGTTCTTCCTGGTGGAACCTTGATTCACTGCTGAGTCCCAGATTCCTTCAGGGATGCTGAACATCAACTCTGCATCCGGCCCCCACAAACATACACGTGCGCTTATGCACACAGGTGCGCGTACCATAAACACACACACCACACCGGTCGACAGCAACATAGTGAGGCTACTAGTTGGTGAAGCTGGTATCTTCCAGTCCTTTTCACACAACTACATTTAAAAAAATTGCTAGAATAAGCCAAACATTCACATGATTCAATAAATCAGAAGCTCCCAAAGGTGACCAGCGAAAAATCTCCCTTCCACCCCTGTCCTCCAGCCAGGCCTCCTCTCCTGGGAGGAAGTGACCAGTTTATGGGTTTCTTTCCAAAAGTATTTTTTTTTTTTTTTTGTAAATACGAGTAAATTAAAGAAATGAAGGCGGGCATGGTGGTGCACACCTGTAATCCCAGATACTCAAGAGGCTGAGGCAAAAGGATCCCAAATTCAACACCAGCCTGGGCAACTTTGTGACACCCTGTCTCAAAAAATAAGAAGAGATGGGTTCAATCTCCAGTCCTGAAGAAAAGAAAAAAAGAAAGGGTACATTTCCGTTCAGTTTTATGCCTTTTTCCCCACCCCTACTTAAAACTGGATCATGTTTGTTGTAAATAAGAACCATTAAACCAATTTACATGTTAATATTTCATACTAATAAATAAAAGAGTTTCTCATTCTTTTTTACAACTGATAAGAATTGCATGGCATGGATGTAGTACACCTTTATTTTTTATGGTATCTAGGTTGATTCTAGTAGAATCTTCTACAATTAAGTAAAACTTCAGTTTTTCCTTCCCTTCCCCTCCCTCCCTCCCACCTTCTCTTCCCCTCCCTCCCACCTTCTCTTCCCCTCCCTCCCTCCCTCCCACCCTCTCTTCCCTCTTTCCTTCCTTTCTATGCAAAGGGCTGACATGGGTGCCATGTCACGGTTCATAGCACTATGTGACTTCACTTTGTTGTGAAGTTCCTCATTTATATTTTGTTTATTTATTTGTTCCCTTCATTATTCATATCCCACTACATCTCCCTTCTCTGATCCATGGAATGTCATCCTATTATCTTTAATTTGTCTTTATTTTTATACATTCTTAGCAGGGCCCCATGGTGCATCCCCTAATTTCAGCCACTTGGGAGGCTGAGGCAGGAGGATCATGAGTTCAAAGTCAGACTCAGCAACTTAGGCCCTAAGCAACTCAGCGAGACCTTGTCACTAAATAAATTATAAAAATAGGGCTGGGGATATGGCTCAGGGGTTGAGTGCCCCTAATTCAATCCCTGGTACCCCCCCCMAAAAAAGTATTCACATTTAAATTATTTTTAAAGATATAATTTAACATACAACAAAATCCACCCTTTGGGGAAGAGTTCCACAAGTTTTGATGAAAACAGTCATAGTTACCATCACAATCAAGATATGGAAAAATTTTGTCAGCCCAAGAAGCACCCATGTTCCTTTGTATTTGGCCCCTCCCCTATTCCCTGGAATCAGCRATCAGTTTTTGTAGGGACAGAAAATACAGTTTGGCTTTTGCAAGGAGGTCATATAAATAGACTCATACAGTACATAAGCTTTTGAACCTAGTGGGCTTTTGTTTTGTTTTCCTTTTATTTTTATTTATTTATTTTCTTACTTTTTGGTACCAGGGATGTGAAACCACTGAGCCATATCCCCAGATCTTTTTTGTATTTAAAAAAATGTGTGTGTGTGTGTGTGTGTGTGTGTGTGTGTGTGTGTATATATATATATATATATATATATATATGCTGTAGATGGACACAATGCCTTTATTTATTTATTTATTTATCTTTATGTGGTGCTGAGGATCGAACCCAATGCCTCATGCATGCAAGGCAAATGCTGTACCACTGAGCTATAACTCCAGCCCCCTTTTTTGTTTTTTATTTAAAGACAGGATCTCATTGCACTGTTTTGGCCTTGCTAAGTTGCTGAGGCTGGCTTTGAACTTGCAATTCTTCTGCCTCAACCTTCAGAGCTGCTGGTATTATAGGTGTGTGCCATCTGGCTCTTTTCCTTTTATTTTGAAATATCTTTAGATTTAAAGAAAATTTGCAAAACTAGTACAGAAAGGTTCCAGGTACCCTTTATCCACCTTTTATTTAGGATATTTAATATTCCTAAATACCATAATATAATAATCCAAACTAGGAAATAAACATTTATATACTATTAACTGATCTTTAAACTTCATTTGAATTTCACTAGTTTTCCCACAGATGTCCTTTTCTAGGGATTTGAGCCACAGTCCTGAACCCATAACCCTGAATATTGGAATCCCAAAAGATTTCTAAAGCCTGAAATCCCCCAAGAGCAAAATCTAGAAAATCCAATTTTGAAAAAATTAATTTAAAAATTTCTTTAATATACATTTTGTTTGCAATTTTAAAGGCAAATTTATTTGAGAAACATAAAAACACTGCAGACCACATCAAACGCCACTTTACACAATAAATAGGCAATAATAATAGGCACACAAAAACTAAGGTACACTAATGGCAGTCACAGGGTATAACAGTTTTGGGCACATGAATCATATTCATAAAGAAATCAGTCAAAAAGAGAAATTATAAACACATACCACTAAGATTGGTAATTATGTGCACCCAGCTTTATAACTGCAATCATGATGCATCACCAGAATACATGCAGCTGCCCAAAGAGATCTTGAGAAATTTATCTTTCACAAATGCATGTGTACAAACAGGACATTTTGTCATCTATTGAGGATATTGCAAAGTTTTTATGTACACGTGTAATGCTTAGACACAAAGCCAATACAGTGGTGGTGTGCTTTTTTGGAGTCAAATTTGCAAAAAAATGCACAAGACAAAGCAGAACTCTCTTAAGATTTTTTGGGGGTTTTGTGTGTGTGTGTGTGTGTGYGTGTGTGTGTGTGTGTGTGGTGTRCTGGGGATTGAATCCAGGGCCTTGTGCATGCAAGGCAAATATCTACCAACTGAGCTACATCCCCAGCCTCTCTCTATATGATGTGTACCTCTAGTATTGCAAATGATGAGAAGAAGAAATACATAGCACAGTGAATTTTAAAGAATACTGCTGACAGCTGGGCATGGTGGTGCACGCCTGTAATCCCAGCACCTGATAGTGGGCGGGGGTGGGGGGGCTGAGGCAGGAGGATTTCGAGTTCAAAGCCAGTCTCAGCAACAGCAAGGTGCTAAGCAACTCAGGGAGACTCTTTCTCTACATAAAATACCAAATTGGACTGGAATGTGGCTCAGTGGTTGAGTGCCCATGAATTCAATCGCCAGTACCCGCCCCCCCAAAAAAAGAGAATACTGCTGACAATATTAAATAGTGGGAGAAATTTAAAGAAAAAAAGAAAATTCAGTATAGCTGGGTGTGGTGGTGTATGCTTGTAATCCCAGAGACTTAGGAGGCTGAGGCAAGAGAATCTCAAGTTGAAGGCCAGCATGAGCAACTTAGCAAGACTCTGTCTTAAAATAAATAAATAAATAAAAAAAGTTCTGGAGATATACAGTGGTAAAGCATCCCTGGGTTTAGTCCCCAGTACTGCTAATAATGATAATAATAATAAAATAAAAATCAACAGATGAAAAAGTGTATTGTAGAGATAGGTTATGGGCAATTACGGATTATGGGATGGAGGTAGTCCCTTCATGCTCATTAACTATATTACTATATTTTGAAGTCCTGTATCACAATGAATCGCTGCTTGGTTTTGTTGTTGTTGTTTGAGGCCATGGCTCTCCTCAGAGAACACATTCATTCATTTCCTGTGAGGTGGATCCTCCCCATCCACACTCATCTTCTGTGGAAACACACTCACAGACATACCCCAAATAATGTTTGACCAGGTGTCTGGGTACTCATGTGCCTGACATGACACAAGGATCCTGCAGACAGCTGCCCACGCTCTCACCCCTTCCCCAGAATTCCACTTTCCACCTCTTCTAGAGCCCCTTCTTTGCTGGAAATTTTGGGCTTTCAGGATTTCAACACGGATTTTGGTCTTTCATAAAACCGATTTTCAGGATTTTGGCCCTTATGGGTGTTGGGTTACTCAGGAATATAATCAGCATCACTTTTCTAGCCCTGGATCCAAGCTGGGATTGCACAGTGCATTTGTGTTCCTAATTTCCTCCAACTTGTTAAAGGTCCTTCCTTGGCCTTCATTGTCATAAACTTGACCATTGGAATAGTACTGATCAGCCTTTTGTGTGTGTGGTCCTGTGGATTGAAGCACTCTACCACTGAGCTACATCTCTGGCAATTTTTTTTTTTTTTTGAGACAGGGTCTCACTAAGTTGCTTAGAGCCTCACTAAGTTGCTGAGGCTGTCCTTGAACTTGCAATCTTCCTGCCTCAGTTTCCCGAGTTGGTGAGATTACATGCATGCACCTATTCTGTACCTGGCCTGATCCSTTATTTTGCAGGATGTTGTGCAGTTTGGGTTGGCCTGATGTTTTCTCATAATTGGATCCAGTTTATGCATTTTGGGCAAGAATATCACAGAAAACATGCTGAGAAGCCACATGTTTATTAGAGGTGGTGTTTTCTTTGATTACTTGGTTAAAGTGGTGTCTCAGGTTTTTCAGCTGTAAAGCAATTATTTTTCCCTGAATAATTACTTTCATAGGGGTGTACTTTGAGACTATGCAAAGGTCCTATTTCTCATGATTCATTTATCCACTGATTTTAGCATCGTTGGTGGTGCCTGCCTGCAACAATTATTGCTGTTATGTTTCTTTAGCAATGATTTTCCACTTAGAACACTCCTAAATTTACTAATTGGAATTCTATTCTGGGTTTTAATCCAATACTACCATTATGTATTTTGTTACTTAAATTGGGCCAGATTGGGCTATTGGGAGCATTTGCAGTTGACTTTGTCCTCCCAACCTGCTATCATGCTTTTTTGAGTATTTTCTTACTTTCTGACACCACAAAATGTTCCAGGGTCATCTGTTATCTACCTACCATCAGCCCTGGAATTAACCCTTTCCCTGAGGAGCATTTTTCCTTTAATTGGAAAATAGTATTTAGAAACCAAGACAGGGGAGGCAGGAGTGCTTATTGCTTCTGGGCTGTCACTGCTTCTAGGCCCTCTCAAGGGACAGAGCTAGGAAATATATGTATATGAACACAGAGTTACATAGTGCACACACACACACACACACACACACACACACACACACACACTTTTGGTATTGAGGATCAAACCCAGGGGCACTTTACCACTAAGCTACATTGACAGTCCTTTTTATTTTTTATTTTGAGACAGGGTCTCACTAAGTTGCTGAGGTTGGCCTTGAACTTGCAATCCTCCTGCCTCAGCCTCCGGAGTCACTGGGTTTCTAGGATAACAGGGATGTGCCAGCTTCTGTAAATAGGGGATGATAGGGTAGTTATGAAGGAGGAAATGGCCTAGAACCTGGGGCAGAAACATGGGAGCAGAAAGCCAGGCAGGGCTGGTGGAGAGAAATCACTGGCCAGCATAAGGCCACCTGTCCAAGCTGTGCATGTTGACATGGGCTGCCTGGTGCCTCCGTCCCGGAAGTGTGCAAGCCCAGGCAGGACAAGGAGGGAAGACCCAAGCTTCAGAGGGTCCTGGCTGAGAGGGCCAGAGTCTGGACTCCTGGTGGGGGGCTTCTTTCATGCCAGGGGGGCCTCTGTCGTTGCAGGATGGCCCTTCGACAACGCCACATGCAAGATGAGCGGCTTGGTACAGGGCATGTCTGTGTCGGCTTCCGTGTTCACGCTGGTGGCCATCGCTGTGGAAAGGTGAGAGTCACCCCTGGCCCCAGGGGCTGGCCTGAGGAGGTGTCTCCAGGCACCACTGGGCTGGCTGGAAGGCGGGGCCTCTCGGCTGGAGAGGAGGCTGAATCCTGAGCTCTGAAGAGGACGGTTGGAGGCCCAGTTGCCCTCTAGCCTGGGGGTACCTGCTCTGAGGACACTTCACCCCCTCTGGAAGGCTTGGAGAGAGCCCTGGGGAGGCTTGATAGGAGTCCTGGGTCTGTGAGGAGCCCGGGGGTCCTGCCTGCCGCACTGGGAGCCAGGGAGCCAGCGCTAAGGGAGCAGCTCAGGGGTGGGCTCCGGGTGCCTGGGGTGGGGTTGGGGCTCTCCCCGCCCCCTCAGCCTACCCCCGCTGTCTGCTTGCCGGTCCCTGGMAGTCTTACTCAGTCCCCAACCCCAGCCCATCCCCACCACCTCTGGTCTTTCAGCCACAGATTCCAGCAGATTCTCTGATAAGCGTGGTTCTGTGAATGTGGCTGGAGGCGTGCAATGGAACCCGGGGTCAGGGAGGCTTGGAAACGGGTCTGAGCCCTAAGTCTCCCTATTCCCAGGGCGCTTGTCCTCCTGCCCAGCATCTCGGTGCTCTGAGAGCTCCTGGGGTGCTTTCCCCAGGGAATACGGCAAGCAGATGAGCTGGAGGTAGTTTTTACGCTCATCAGTGCCTCGCTGTGTGATGTTGGGTGGGTCACTCAGCTAACCTGAGCCTCATCTGTACAATGTAGGCTCATCCATACAATGGCAACCACCATTTTCAGACAACTAAGCTTTTCTGCCTGAAAACCTTAGGCACAGTTCCCAGCTCAAGGTCCAAACGTCAGCTGTGACCATTACTTCTTCAGTACACCCTCACACTCCTCTTCGTCCTCTCCTCAGTGCTAATACTCAGGCCTCCCTTTCTAGACTCGAGTGATCTCATCTTTTTTCTATTTCCCCACCACCACCAAGCCTACTTTTCTCTTCCCACAAAACCTTTATTTTATTTGTTTATTTTTATGTGGTGCTGGGAATTGAACCCAGTGCCTCATGCGTGCTAGGCAAGTGCTCTATCACTGAGCCACAACCCCGGCCTCAACCTACTTTTTATAACCCAGTCAAGTAGGCAGCTGGGCYGGGTGCAGTGGCACACGCCTGTAATCCCAGCAGCTTGGGAGGCTGGGGGTGTGGCTCAGTGGTTAAACACCCCTGGGTTCAATCCACAGTTCAAAAAAAAGTAGGTAGCTAGTGTGATGGAGATGGTTCCTCTTTCCACAAAGTCACTAACTAGTTGGGTGAGTGTGGGAAGTCCCTCCCCTCCACCAGCCTTTATTGATATGAGTATGTGCAATGTCTCCCAGTGGTGTTTGCAATATTCTTCAAGTGCCACCTCCTCCAGGAAGCCTTCCTGGATTTTTATCCCAGGATTCTCCTCCACCTCTTAAGTATATGCTTTAAGAATCCTTTGTTCTCTGGAGAGTTTTGGGATATGATACTGAAAAGCCAGTGGGTCAAGGTCACCCAGGCTGAGTCAGGCCATGGGAGAGGGCAAAGGTGTTGAGGCCGGGACAGAGGGATAGGCAGCAGGACAGGATACAGGTGAGTGAAGTGGAAAGGGCACTTGGCTGGAAATCAGCTCCACCCTGTATTCAAGCTCAGGCTCTGTCCCCAAGGAAACAGGGACCTTCTGAGAAAGTCTCTTCTCCTATCTGGACCAGGTTCCCCTCCATGAAAGAGGCAAGCTGGACATTCCTCGGAGTCTGTTTTCTGCCCTTGGAAGACTTCCTGGGAAGTTGGAGCCCCTCCTTTATCTCACTATTAAGCATTCAGAATGTCTCCAGAAAGGTGGTGACCTCACTTCAGCTTCACAACAGCCTTCCGGAGTAGGACCCCATTTAGCAGATAAAGAAACTGAGGCCCAGAAAGATTTTTCAGTAGTTGGCCCTTTGGGTAGTTCCTATGGTATGTCCTATGGAGGACACATTGGCACCTCTTCCACCTCCAGCAGCAGATCTCAACCCTGGCTGCAAACTGGAACCATCCAGGAGCCTCCAAGCAAAACAAAACAAAACAAAACAAACAAACAAACAAACAAAGCAAGCTAAAACCCCTTCCAGCTTCCCAGACTAATTACATTGGGATCTTTGACTAGAGAAATTGAGTTTTGGGTGTGGGATTCAGTGCATGCCTTTTAAATGCTTCAGGAAATTCTAACTCACAACCAGGGCCTACAGCTACTGGTGATGTGGCCTAGTGAAGCAAGACAAATTGGGTTCAAAGGTGGTCACCAGTACTTGCTGGCTGTGTGACCCTGAGCCAGTTGCTTGATCCCTCTCAGTTTCCTTATCTATAAATTAAGGGTGTATTAGTCATTGCTGCTGAAGGAGTCTAATGAGGAAATAAATGGTGCAGACTTGCCCTCGTGTGGTGAAGGCAGTGATGAAGGGMCCCTGGCTGAGATGACAGAGGGACAGTCTGCCACACAGGCTCCACATCTGATCTCTCAGGGTTTTCTGGGAAAYCCATAACAGCTAAAAAATGTATTTGTTGATACCCCCAGTGAGCCTTCTCCAGGGCAGGATGTGCACCTCAGACTGATGGCTCTGCGGGCTGCCAGCGAATCAGTGTACCCCAGAAGCGCAGGGAAGGTTTAATTCATTGTTCCCAGGCTGCGGTCCCCTCCTCCCTGCTCTCCGTAAAACTTGACGCTGCCTTTGTTCCCCGGGCAGCCTCCCTCCCAGGTGAGAAGCCAATCTGCTTGCAAACTCACCTAATTAACGTCTGGGCTGTCGTCTGAGCTGCCTTAGGTGCCATGGGGGCCCCCGGGGACCCTCCCAGATCCCTRCCTCTCTCCCCCACTCCCGCCACAGGTTCCGCTGCATCGTGCATCCTTTCCGCGAGAAGCTGACCCTGCGGAAGGCGCTGGTGACCATCGTGGTCATCTGGGCCCTGGCGTTGCTCATCATGTGTCCCTCGGCCGTCACGCTGACCGTCACGCGCGAGGAGCACCACTTCATGGTGGACGCCCGCAACCGCTCCTACCCGCTCTACTCGTGCTGGGAGGCCTGGCCGGAGAAGGGCATGCGCAAGGTCTACACCGCGGTGCTCTTCGCGCACATCTACCTGGCGCCGCTGGCGCTCATCGTGGTCATGTACGCCCGCATCGCCCGCAAGCTCTGCAAGGCGTCGGGCCCGGCCCGCGACCACGCGGAGGTGGCGGCCGAGGGCGGGCGCGCGTCGCGGCGCAAGGCCCGGGTGGTGCACATGCTGGTCATGGTGGCGCTGTTCTTCACGCTGTCCTGGCTGCCGCTCTGGGCGCTGCTGCTGCTCATCGACTACGGGCAGCTCAGCGAGCCGCAGCTGCACCTGCTGTCGGTCTACGCCTTCCCCTTCGCGCACTGGCTGGCCTTCTTCAACAGCAGCGCCAACCCCATCATCTACGGCTACTTCAACGAGAACTTCCGCCGCGGCTTCCAGGCCGCCTTCCGCGCCCGGCTCTGCCCTCTGCCGTGGGGCCGCCACCACGGCACCTATTCGGAGCGGCCCGGCTGGCTCCTGCGCAGGAGGGTCTTGATGGAGGTGCAGCCCAGCGACTCGGGCCTGCCGTCGGAGTCGGGCGCCAGCAGTGGGGCCCCCAGGCCTGGCCGCCCACCGCTGCGGAACGGGCGGGTCGCCCACCAGGGCTTACCCGAGGAGGGGCCTGGCTGCTCCCACCTGCCCCTCACCGTACCAGCATGGAACATCTGAGGTGGTCCAGAAAGCGCAGGCCCCTGCCTGTGGCCCCAACTGCACCTGCGATACCTGGACACTTACTTGGCAGCTTGGGGCGGAGTTTGAAGAGGATGCCAAAATGCCTCCTCAAAAACAAGGCAACGGGCTGCTTGCTGCTCTTGATGTCCTCTCCCTTCAGATGGCAGGGAGAGGAAGAAACCTACTCTCCCCAAACGCTCCCTATGGGGTAGATTTGACAACCATCCTCTCATTGAATTCCCACAGCGCTTTGGAAATGGGCTTTCTTAAGCACCTTGTCTTCAACAGATGCAGAAACAGAGGCCCAGAGAGTAGAGGTGTCTAGCCCAAGATCGCTCAGCGGGAAATCTCACTTGGACCTGCCAGGCTCCAGTGCCTGAATGGTTTTGCTGTCTCCAGCTGTCTCCAAAAGGACCCCATAAGGGAAGCACAGGGAAACTGAAAATCCTAACCAACTAGGCAGCTGGGAAGAGACAGGAAGCAAGCCAGCAGAGCTTTGATGCTCGGAACCCTGTCGTTCAGTCTGTATGTTCTGTTGCTCAGGCTGCTTCTTTGAACCTTTTGCTGGGAGACCATGGTGTGCCTCACCTGCCAGCTCCAATTCGTTGTTTTGTCTTGTTCCAGGAAGTGTCCAGGGCCATTCTCTTTCTGGATGTCGCCCTGGGGAGCCTGCTTGTTACAGGGCATTTTAGACCTGAGCCTAGAGAAGGTAGGAAGAGTCCATCTCCCACCTCCATCTCCCAGAGCCCAGTAGACCCAGTGCAGGGGCTGGGAAGCCAGGTGGAGGTGTGTTTATTTACTACTGGACAAAGGGGAAGGGAGAGCACTGTTCCTGCTGTCCACCTTTGGAAACCCATGTGGAGGCTGCAAGTGCGAAGCACGGAGGCCTTTCCTCACTCATCCTGGGATGTAGACGCTGGCCAGCTGACTCTGCAGCTGAGCTCTCCTGGGGGACTCCTGAACCCCTCCCCACATGGATGACTCATGTACCTCAAACAGTGGGAACCAGGAGATCCTCTGTTCTCTTCAGCTCTCAATCAGTGGCTTGTGCCACCTCAAGAGTGCACCTTCTCTCCAGCAGGTGGGAGGAACTAGGTTGCCTCAGGCGCACCTGCAAAAAATCTGCAGTTGACCGGACATTTTCCCCCTTCAATCCATTACTGCTTTTGCTAAAAACTGAGTGAATGAAARGGAAACATTTCCCAAGGTCAGGGCTCTGAGGCTCTGATTGTTTCCTTAATAACAATGACCTAACCCTGTTTATTCCATTCTAAGCACTGGGAACAGGGACAGAAGAAAATGCCAAGTAGTTGTACTTGTCTAAACAGGTCCCCAAACACTGACTGTGTTATTTCATTCACACAAACAAGGTTGGCGATACTAGTATGGACATTTTAAAAGTGAGCCCTTAAGGGCCAAGGAGCGGGGTTTGTGTGAGGACACATCTTCTGACTGTTCTTCCTATACAGCCTCCTGCCTTTCAGGGAAGGTCATGGGCATGGCAGGAAGGAGAGCTGGAAATTCCCCCAAAGACTTTCTGTCTAATAGTGAAACAGAAAGCCCACGGAGTAGGATCCTGGTGCCCAAGATCTTGGGCTGGGGAAATGARTCTATTGTGTTTGCTCTTGTAATTTCCGGCCTGACTTGTTCTGTGTATAAGATCTATGAGCCATGTGTTGAGCAAGCTGCCGAGATCCCTTATGACCCTGTTCCATTCCAAAAGTTTAGGAATGATGGGAGGGGGTCTTGCCCCTCAATGACCTTAGCTGGTGCCTTGCATGATCTTCACTTTTTGTGCCATATCTGTGTCCTGAAACGCATACACCTGAGAGTTGGTGGCTGTTTCTGTGAAGAATTCTGATGCCAGGCTCTAAAAATAGACTAAACAAAGGGCCATCTCAAACCCCAACTGGCTGTGCCTGTGGCTGTCTGGAGCTGTTTGCAGACACTGCTCCAGGGTGTGCCTCCTTTAGTATGGCCTCCTCCAGCGCAAAAACATAGCCATTATGTGTATTTCTCTCTCAGAAGTGTGTATGAGAGAGACAGGGAGAGAGGAAGAGATGGAAGGAGAGAGAGAGAGAGGGAGGGAGGGAGGGAGGAAGAGGGAGACAGAAACCAAGGCACTCACAAAAACCAACCTTCCCACCATGGCCCCTTCGCTTTATTTCCCCTAAAGATGCCATGTTTTGAGAGGTAGTGACGGCCGGCAGAAGAAAACAAAATTCCTGCACACAGCGTTCACAGTCCATATATTTTGTTGTATTTTTTAAACTATCARAGGCTGCCCATCCAGAGACTGGATCTGATGACACACCCTGACGCTTTGGTGAAGCCCTGGGGCCTTGTGAGTGATGGGGAGCAGGTTTGTTTCTTTGTGAATGTGGTGAAATACACACAACATGAATCTTGCCAGTTTAGCCATTTTTAAGGGTACAGTTCAGCAGCCTTAGRTACATCCCCGCTGCCACATAACTATACCACTCCCCATGTCCAGAATTCAGCCTCCCTCCTCAGTACCCATGAAGCAACTCCCCACTCCCCTTCCTCCAGCCCCTAAAAACCCCCATTCCACTGTCTCTGAATTTGATTATTCCAGGTACCTCATACCCGTGGACTCCTCCAGTATTGATCCTTTTTTGACTGATTTCTTTCACTCAACATGTTATTCTAAGGTTCATCCATGTTGTAGCATGTGTTGGAATTTCCCTCCTTCTTTTTAAATTTTTCTTCTTATTTTGCAGTGCTGGGGATTGAACCTAGGGCCTCACTCATGCGAGGCAAGTGCTCTACCACTGAGCCACCTCCTATCCTTCCTTCCTTCCTTCCTTCACTTCCTTCCTTCCTTCCTTCCTTCCTTCCTTCCTTCCTTCCTTCATAAGGCTTCATAATCTATATTCTACATTTTGTGGGTCCATTCACCCAACAATGGCCACTGGCTGTTTCCACCTTTTGGCTTTGGTGAATGTATGGAGCTTTAAGAGAATGCAAGTACTTCCTAAAAATAGTGTGTGTGTGAACCCTAAGGACAGAGACCCCCAAGATCTTTCTCAACTTCRAATTTATGTGTGACAGAGAGAAGCTTCCCAACAGCTCTGTGTTCCCATGGGGCTTTGCTTCTTGATTAGAGTGGCTAAAAATTTGTATGTTCTGCCCTTGGGATTTTTTAAAATATTTTTTTAGGTGTTGATGTTGGTTTTATTCGTTTATTTATATGGGGTGCTGAGAATGAACCCAGTGCCCCGCACATGCTAGGCAAGCTCTCTACCACTGAGCTACAAGCCCAGACCCCCACAGGATGTTTTCACGAAGCTCTTTTTATAATTACAGCTTTTTAATTCTCACTGGATTCCTGTGTCCCGACACGTAGGCCCTGTCAGGAGACTTGTATAACCAAGGCACTCAAGGGCAGGCCATGTGGCTCCCTGATGTGCCACTCTCCACGTTTGGCTTGGTCGGGTCTCCTGAGGCGACTGTCCATTCACGGAGGAAAGCTCAAGGATGAACTGAGCATGTGCGGGGGGAACAGGGCCAGAGGCCTGTTGACATGGTGCCCCCATCCCAGAGGGGCTCTTGGAGGGACTCCGTGTCCTGTGGTACCATGGTATAACAAGAGTGGTCCTTCTCAWGGCGGGTCTCCACGGATGAATGGCCCCTTGACTTCCCCAAGATCACGTGGCACCCAACTGACCAGTGTGAGCTGCAGGCGGGGCCCACCCCAGCCCCACAAACCACAGTCTGCCCAGCCCTGGACTGTGGATCTTCTCTTGGGGCCTGGAGAACACTTGAGTTGGTTTGGGTTGGAATGGAGGGTGGAGTTGGCAAAGGAGGACCGACCAGAGCCCCCCATCACCAACCTACTGTGTATTCATCCCCAAATCAAGGAGAAAGCCAAAACGAGGGCTGCGTGGACAAGGCATTGCTATTAAGCTCTGTACCTTTCTGCATCCGTCTCCTCAGCTCACCCCTCAGAAATGCCACCAAGGAAAGACAGATGAGAAAGAGGTGACCCAAATGGGCTTCCTTACAAGCAAACAATGTTGAGTCAAAATAGATTCCTTGTTGAATAACCCAGTTATTGTTGGTGTGGGTTATTTACTTATTTATTTACAAACGCATTGCATAATCATTGTGGAAATTTTACAGAATTTCGATAAGTACAGAAAAGAAAATTGAAAACATTTAAATCCTACAAGATAAGCATAGTTGTTTTCTATGCACCTAGATCTATATATTTTCAATTTCTGTAACAGCTTCATTGAGGCATCATTTGCATTCACCCATCTTAAATATATGTCCAGAGAGTTTTAGCAATTATTTACATTCGTGTAGCCACCACTACGCTCAGATATATTCATCATCCCAAAGAGTTTCCTGGTGTCAATTTACAGTCAATCCTCTCCCCTCACTCCTGATCCCAGAAAACCACCCATCTGACTTCAGAATGTCCTGTACCTGGAATCAATGTCTATAGATAGCCTCTTGGGTCTGGCTTCTTTCACTAAGCAGGATGTTTCTGAAATTCACTGATGTGGTACCATGTAGTTCATTGCTTTCTATTGCTAAGCAGTATCCCATTCTACATGTGTGTGTGAAGATGTTTTGTTTATCCATTGGTCAATTGTTGGTCATTACCAGTTTTTGACTCTCATGAAGGATGCTGCTGTGAGCATTCATGTACCAGTCCTTCTATGTATGCATGCTTTCAATTCCCTTAGGTAAATACCCAGGAGCAAGGCTGCTAGGTGGATGGCAAGTATGCYGTCTGGGTAATAAACTGCCAAGGCATTTTCCAAGTGCTCCACCATTCTGTACCCTCATCAGCAGATCCAGTTGTCCCCCACTCTTGCCAACACTGAGTAGCATCAGTTTCCCTGGTAACTAGTGATGCTGGGCATCCTTTTGTGTGTTTGCTGGCCATTTATCTTTTATTATAAAGGGTTTTCAAATCCGTCTTTTAAAACATGATTATATTGCAGAGACTTGTGCACAAAAATTCTCCCTAAATCTAAGAGGCACCTATCACTAATAGATGATAATTAAGTTTCTGGTGAACTCAAAACATTTATTGGGGCTGGGGTTGGGCCTCAGTAGTTAGGCACTGGCCTCAAATGTGCCAGGCCCTGGGTTGGGTCCCCAGCAACCACAAAATGGCAAAACCAAAACCGAACAAAAAATATTCAGTGCCAGACATGGTACTAGGGCTTTGTGTGTCGTTTTCTTTCTCGTGATGGAACAGAAGCTTCATGTGGACAGCAGCTGTGTCTACTTGCCTCATCTTGTGGACTCAAATCTAGGATGTTGCCTGGTGCTTAAGAGGCACTCAACAAATGTCTATTGGATGAGTGAAGCAATGAAATAAGTAGGTGTTTATTATTCCCACATTACAGATGGGAAAAGCTAGGTCAAATTACATATAGATCATGTAACTGGGAGGTGCTGAGCCTGAGCCTTATGTCTTGGTTCCATAAAGCTCAGGTTTTGGCTATTCCTTGAAGCTGCCTCAGCCTCTCCTTCCTGCAATGGGAGCTGAGGTTCAGCATAAAAGCAAGAGGCTTGATGGAGGTATCCTAAAAATAAAACCAGCCAGCCACAGGCTCCAGACTGCTGTTTTGGCCACGAGGCCATATTTCCATCACATTCAAAGGCTTCCAAGGGTTTGAGATGGAAGGGATACCAGCAGTTTGAGTAAAAGA